CTATCTGTGCAGTCTCATATGACATCTATGTACCAAGTTTTATTGAAATGTTATGATTAGTACTTGAGATATCAGTGGAAAAGCCGAAAATTGATTAATCATTATGCAAATTAGGTAATTAATATAAACAGATTTTTACCCAAAACTAATGAAATCTGCGCATTAGATCAGAGCATCCATGTGCCAAGTTTCATCAAAATCCAATGAGTGGTTCTTCAAATATCAGTGGAACAGTCATGGAACAGCTTAAAATCAGTTAATTATCACGCAAATTAGGTATTTAATATTCATAGATTTTTACCAAAAACAAATCAAATCTGCGCATTAGTTCAGAGCATCCATGTGCCAAGTTTCATCAAAATCCAATGAGTGGTTCTTCATATATCAGTGGAACAGTCATGGAACAGCTAAAAATCAGCTAATTATCATGCAAATTAGGTAATTAATATTCATAGATTTTTACCAAAACCTAATCAACTCTGCGCATTATCCCAGAGCATCTATGTACCAAGTTTCACCAAAATTTGATTAGTGGTTCTTGAGATAACGGTGGAACAAAAAAAGTGACATACATACATACATACATACATACATGCATACATACAGACATACGGACATACGGACATACGGACATACAGACATACAGACAGGGTAACTGCAAAGACTCCCTTTTGTGCTTCGCACACGGGAGTCAAAAAGAATGCCAAGTAAAACCAGAATTAGTCATAAATAACAATGACAATAAAAAATTGTACAATTTACATTTACTTAAACACAAAGATTCAGTATTATGTTTTACTTTATTTCATTCACCATGTACACCTTTGGTTTGCAAACACAATAAAGTATCAGATTTAATTACTTTTGCATTCCTTACACAATGACATTATTCCATTATATGAGGTAAATGATGGACCAATACAGGACCAAACAAGATGGATATATTGACCAATATTGGTCCGGAATGAAATTAGTTAATTGTGGACCACTACAAGACCAGAATGAGATTGGTAGATGATGAACCAATTAAAGACCAAA